CGAGAGCATAGCTACATAAAAGACCTTTTATAGCTGGCAAATGTCACACACTTTGATATATATTATTGTGCTAAGCTTCATAGTGTGTGAATGTGTGTGTGAATGGGTGGATGACTGGATGTGTAAAGCGCTTTGGGGTCCTTAGGGACTAGTATTTATATTGTACTATTGCTTTTTTGATATGCTTTTATACTTTCTTTATGTTGCTATATTGTTTGTTTGACATGTTTTCTTGTGAAGCACTTTGTAACAGCGTTTTGTCTTAAAAAAGTGCTATATAAATAAATTTTACTTACTTACTTACTTACTAGTAAAGCGCTATACAAATACAGGCCATTTACCGTTACAGCGAAACATGCAAACCTTAACTGCAGCTTCAAATTTGAGCTGCAAAAACGCTTTTCCAGCAGTAATATCACGATAAGAAGACATGTTCAGTGTTAAAGTGACAGAGGACGATTTGGAAGTCAAACATTTTTGTCGCTTTTTCTAGACTTTCACTTATATATAGAACATAAAAATGTAAGTGCGTACGTGTGTGTGTCATCACAGCACGTTTAAAAAGGCTGTTTCTGTGCTCTTCTCTCGCTTACGGCCATACCACCCTGAACACGCCCGATCTCGTCTGATCTCGGAAGCTAAGCAGGGTCGGGCCTGGTCAGTACTTGGATGCGAGACCGCCTGGGAATACCAGGTGCTGTAAGCTTTTGCACTTCCACACACAAACTGCAGAGGGCGCTGATGCTCACTTCCTCAACACCACTTACATCACACCCATTCACATCACATGTTAACATGAGGTGGAACGAAATTATGTACTTTATCTATGAGAGCAGACGAGGCCTCTTCCCTTCAAAACCACACATGCCCACTCACATAAACATGATGATGCCATGCTCTGACAGGAAACAGCCTCTAAAATGGAAAGCGGCTGTTAGTTTAATGTGATGAGAACGGTGAAGAAGATGGCTTCTGCTGCCACCATCGCTGTTTCTGCTCTGCTGCTTCATCACTGCCTCCACAGGTACGCTACACTTCATCTCTGTATGCTGTCAGGTGTAGTTTTGTTGTATTTGAGGGAGTTTTAAATGAGCGATCAGGTTGACATTTCAAAGTTCATGTAGATGCAGTAAATGAGATAAAACATCAAACAATTGTGCTTCTTTTAAAAAACTGATCATTATATTTACAAATTACAAGTATCATTCACCCAAAAGTGACCCACCAAATAAACTGTAGTAATCCTGTACTACACAAAGAATGAAAGTGTTCATTATTGGACTAAATGAGTAACTCTAATTATTTGAAACATCACACTGCCTCATCATAGTTCTTGTGATTACAGTCACTTGTCTCCCTGTCAAGCAAAAACGTTTATATGCGATCTTCACGTGATGTATTGTTGTCTGTCATCGCTGATGCTTTTTTGACTGTTTTCTTGGTGAGACCATGCATTACTTGGGCTTCATGAAATTAAGCACATTCCCACATGACAGTTATAAAGATAAATACTTTAATTCTTTTCTGCACATGTAAAGTTATGAAAGGGATTTTCCAGAAAACAACATTTCATGCTAAATGAAAGGTTTAGAGCAAGTGGCTCTGAAAAAAGACACCCAACCAGTTTTGAGTAGTGTGTCAGAATGAACGTAGAGGCTTACTTTCTTATTATTACTGAGGAAAATAATCATAAGATGATTGATTTCCTGTTCCCTTGACAGAAAGTGAAACTCTGATAAAGCGACTTAGTGATTGCAAAATTCATTTTACTGAGAACTGTTTTTGCACATTTGGTATATTTGTTTTCTTAGCAATGTCATGATGATTGTCGTGATCTCAAAAAGTTCCAGTCAATCTAAAAGTAGTCAGCTTCTAAAGTAGTCGACATTATTGAGAAGAATGTGAAATATCAGCTGATTGTCAATGATTTATCAAATTAAAATACGATATAACATCTCTATGGAGATTTTGAAAATTCTCACAAATATATTTGTACATGCAGAAAATGTGTTTACATGCTGTGTACTAACTCAAGCTATGCTATGTGGACACCTTTGCAAAGCAGCGTTGCTCACGAACACAGAAATTAAATGTTAGTGTCTGACACTTTTTATCTGCATCGTGATTTCTTGGCAGCTACTTTGGAGCTAATTTGTAAGAAGTCTGTAGATGGAACAAAGTTTAGGTACAGCCCTGAATTTAGTATGAATAACACAATGTCCTTCAAATGTTATAAATTGACATACAATCGTTCAGAGCCTTTCTAACATGGCTAATCTCATCTTTCTGTTTCAAAGGCTCTCAGGATGATTGTGTGTACGCTGCAACAGGCTCAAACTTCACTGTGTCACTTAAATATAAGTTAAAGGCATCAGAGAGCCTGAGATGGTTCAAGGACGCAAGGATAATCTTTCATCACAGACAGAAACAGGTGATCTTAGGGAAAAATGATGATGCTGATTCAACTGGATGAAGACGAGTCAGGACGATACAGACCAGAGATTCACAGCACAGAGGGAATAAATGTGGGGGGAAATTTACCGAGTGTGCATTTGTGTGTATCAGGTAAGTAACAACACATTATACATACATTTATTCTGGTAATACAAATGTACTTAATAGCAAATGTTCTGCCTGTTTCTATGTTAGTCACACATTTAACCCACAGAAAACTGCTGGTTTATTAATGTACTAAAGTTACTGTCTAGCTTTCCCATACAGCATTATTATTATTTTTAATGTATTATCAAGATTATTTTTTGATGGGCAACCGTGGATCAGGGAGGTTGGGAAGCTCATCTGTAACCGGAAGGTCGCCGGTTCGATTCCCGGGCTCTCTGTCCTGGCCGTTGTGTCCTTGGGCAAGACACTTTACCCTACCGCCTACTGGTGGTGGCCAGAGAGGCCGATGGTGCGATATGGCAGCCTGGCTTCTGTCAGTCAATAAGACAAATGTCAGTTTTACTTGCAGTGTAAAAAGTTAGCATAACTCACACTCCTAGTTGTTTAATGTTTGTGGGACCATGAGTTGACTTGTTTTGTTTGATTTCTTGACAGTATATCATTATTATTAATAACGATGCAGGTTGGACATCTGGTGTTGGATTATGCTAAAAATTATATCTGGGCTTCGCAATATTTTATGCTGCTTGTTTAAATTGTATCACTTACGGTGTGTCGATATAAGCAAATTGGTTAAACGTTTTGAATAATTCAGAAGAACTATATTTTAAATAAAAGCACCACCAACAACCAATTTAAACAACATGAATTAAATGAAAGGTTTTAAAATGAGCAGGGTAGGGATTCTACAAAGCTCAAAGGTCCCATGTACTGAATCTCATCTGCCTCCACTATCTCTGCTCCTTGTAGGTTCACACCTGCCTCCCACACATTCATTTCTGATGTAGATAGACTCCACAAAGTAGTTCAGACAGATTTAAACCTGCTCTGCTGATGTAATGACTGTCTTAAGACAAGATTAAAAATAAAATACCATTATTAGTTACACAAATAGCAGTGGCATTAGCATAGATTAGCTGACATCAAATACACTTGGAGCTTTGAGATCAGTTGCTCCCGATGCATTCACCTCAGTGTGAATGTTAGATAGAAAGCACTTAGAAATAGAAAAAAGTGCTTTTTCTGTGCTGTTTAAAGCACTATATAAGAATGTGTCAGTTTACCATTGAGCTGTCTACAGTATATTGACTACAAAGGAGATCTAATTCTTTCTATTTATCCTTGTGTAGCTGACACAATCCTGTCTGAAAACATTAGGAGATGACCGGTGATTCTCCAGGTCTGATCTTTCATCTGTCCTTATTTTAACAGATTTGAGGGAGCTTTATTTGCAGTGGACTGATGAAGAACAGGAAAAGCCTCGTTGTTATGAGCATCGCTACCAGCAGCAGCCAGCTGTCAACACCAACAAAGAGGCTGAAAACAGCAGCGTCCCACAACCTGGCACCTGGGCACACTGTGATCTGAAGAGACATAACAGAAAATAACATTATCATCACCGTCTGGCCTTAGTGATGAAGTCATGTGATCTGTGCAGGATGCCTATAATATGTTATAATTAAAAAAATTTTAAACAGAGAGCCGTTTCTGCCGCATATATTAAAATAAACTGATATTTCATTCATTATTACCGTAATATTACCGTAAGGACCAGAATTTGTACCATGTACATGTGTATGGAATGGTGCCACCTTGTGGACATCTGCAAATACTGACAGAGTCACTGTTCATGTTTCTGAATATCAGCGATAACCAACTAATTAGGCCTACCATAAATAAAAACAGGGAAGAGGATGAAAAAAAAAAAACAATTTACAATTTAAACAAAATTGAAGGAATGAATCAGAATTTGCCCACGGCTGAGACAGTTGGTCAGACCTAGAATCTGTGTGTCACAAGTGGCAGAAAAAAAGAGGAACGATGCTGATGAGAACTTGTACTTTAAAAAACAAACAAACAAACAAACACAGAAGAGAGCTTGGACAAAAAGCAACTAAAAAACTTTTTTATTTTTATTTTTTTAATTAATGAATTAAAACCTTCACATTTAGACAGAGACATTGTTACTCTGCTTCCTCTTATTTTATAAGCAGAATTGGCTTCATTCATTCACTCATTCAATCATATGATTTTTATTCACTTACTTCCACTTTTGTTCATTTTAACCAGCATGTTTTGTGTTTTTGTCTGAAGGCGGCATGTATGACATGACCTGCTGCCAGGTTAATAAACTGCTATCAGTGGAAAACGAGGAATCCGCAGTGGAATATGTAATCAATAGTTGCCAGAGTGACACTGCTTCTTTCATAAGAAATATCCAAACTTTTATACAGCTGTCTGAATGGCCAGATGTTTTTTTTTTTTATTTATACTTCAGTATGTTTATGAAGGCATTTTGAAAACATGCCACCACGATGATCCCAAACAGATCCTGGAAATGACAGTTCAGGGGGCGGATCGGGTCCGCAGTCGCTTCCGCTTTGATAATCACAGTTCCCAGGATCACACCGCCTCCACCCTGAGTCAGAAGAAATCTTTTTAATTCATGATTTTTTTCTTTTTTTTTAATGGCTCACGTGGACTTTATTAATCATCATCTGCTGTCTGATAGCCTCACTGCAACTTAGGCTTCGTCCACATCCACACTGCTTTGGGTGGGTCTAAGCTTTGTGATCACAGAATCATTGTTTTCTAATACGCGCGTGTAAGAAATCGATGCAAATCTATCAACGTTATGTGTGCTGTGAACCCCGAAGACGAACGCGGTCAGTATCCATGATTGCTGTGATAGAGGAGCTGAAGAGAGAGTGGGTGAGCTGGGCTGACTTATAACTGCGGAAAGAGAGAGAGCGAGAGAGCTGCGCAGTAAATTCCTTCCTTTAAATAAAAGACATTTCAGCTCTAACCACAGTCTGGTCTATTGTTCAATTAGTTCAATTGTTTTTTTGTTTTTTTTTAACTTTCACTTTCTATTTACTGTGTTCGGTGACGTCATCCTCACTCTCTATAGCCAGAAATTGAGGCAATATTCCTGTTTGAATATAATATGTTGGTAACCAAAAGGGAAACTTAAGAACATGCTAGACAGTCTGGATTGCATCAGTTGGCTCAACAATTTCCCGAAAACACATCTGCTTTGTTTGCAGCTGTTTTTGTTTGTTTGATACATTTTGTTCATTTTTGCTCACTTTTGTATTTTTTCACGTCATTAGAAGGCCTTTGGATATTCATCTACCCCTGATTTGGACTGAGTAACTGTTTGGACCTGAATGTGATGAGAAGAGTGAAGAAGATGCCTTCTTCTTCCATTATCACCGCTGTGTTTCTGCTCTGCTGCTTAGCCAACGGCTCCACAGGTACAAACACAATTTAATGAATCTCATTATTAATTCCTCAGGCTTTATTAAAGGAAAAGTTCATTTTAACTTTTCAAATCGTTCTTTAAGATGCCACTTGTGATTGGCCAGATGTTCTATGTGATTTAGTGATCGTGCAGTTTTATTTCTTTTTCAATTTCTTTTTTTTCTTTATGAGGCTCTCGGTGGAAATGTGCTTTACCATCAAAAAACCTAGAATTTAGCAATAATTACTGAACTAAAGTATCTCTGCTGTCACTGAAGCTTTGCAAAATCCTCTTGGAGGATTGCCTTTTCACATCTCTGATGCAGCGTGATGGCTTTGCCCTTGCTGTTCTTAGGCTCACCACATCCAGCCATGGTTTCTGATTGGCCCGGACAGTGACAGTCCTGGTCTCTGTGACATCACTGATGCACTTTGAAATGTAGGCAATGACAGTTTGTCTGTGAAGGTTCTCAGTCATCTGGGTAATCGCAGTCTAAGGAGCTGGGAAAGAAAAATTTCTTCAAGTTTCTTGAAGACGTTTCACCTCATATGAGAAGCTTCTTCAGTTCTAAGACCAATTGGTGGAGAGTCCCAGATTTAAGCCCTTTGGGGGAGACCCTCAAGAGGGTCATGGACCCCCTATTGATCCCCTACCTAATCACATGATCCAAGGTGTGAAAACAGGTGTAGGTGACAGCCAAGGTTTTGGGTGAGCTCATTGTGAAACCTGGCCCCACCCTATCATGTGATTTCCTGAGGTTAGATGGCCCAGGATGTGAGTGGGCGTTAAGGTGCCTGGGAAGGGATCTCAAAACTGGATCATAGATGGCAGACAGTTGGTGTCGTAAACCCCCGCCTCTGTTCAAAGATGGTCGCTCACAGTGGACATAAATGGCTTCTTTCACTCCTTTCAAACCATCTGTCTTCTCTGTCCAAAATGTGAACATTGGCATGCTCAAAAGAGTGACCTTTGACCTTTAGATGCAGATGGACAGCAGAGTCTTGTCCCGTGGAGGTGGCTCTTCTATGTTGATCCAGCTTGTTGTCCAGGGAGAGCACGTTGGACAGTACGATGGGGGAAATAGCAGGTTTGTGTGAATTAGCTGCTAGCCTACTCCGGATGCCTCCACACTTACCCGTCTTCTTCCTCTTGCACTGCCTGACACGTTCCATCTGTGTGCGAGATCTAGTAGCAGGGCTCGCTGAATGTAGGTGCCTCCGAAGCAGTCCGCAGTCCCTCAGTGTAATTCATAGCTCTTCCGTGATTAATAAAGTCAGTTTGCTTTTCTTGATTTTGAGAAGGAGCTCATGACAGTGTGGGCCTTGTTTCACAAGAAAAAGAGCAAAACAAAGACACTGTTTTGTCGGGACAGAGAGCAGCCGCCCTGTGTGTCCATGTCGGGATAAGATGGTGAAAGATGAACCTTTAGGCCCTCCCTCGATTCAGAGATGGTCTTTCCCTTTTCACGTAAATGGCCTCCTTGACGCCGTGCTCAAACCAGCGTTCCTCCCTGTCCAGGATGTGAACATCCTCATGCTTGAAAGAGTGTCCACTGGCCTGTAGCTGTAAATAGACTGCAGAGTCCGGCCTAACGAGGTAGCTCTTCTGTGTTGTGCCATCCTCTTTGCCAGAGGTTGTTTGGTTTCTCCGATGTATAAATCCTGGCAATCCTCCTGGCACTCAACAGCGTACACTATGTTACTCTGTTTGTGTCGGGGGACCTGATCCTTGGGTGGACCAATTTTTGGCGCAGCGTGTTTTGGGATTTGAAACCCACAAAGATTCAGTGTTTAGAAAAAATGCGTCTCAACTGCTCCGACACTCCTGACACATACAGGATCACTACGAGTCTTCGCTTAGGCAGCGTTCGTCCTTCTCTCCTGGATTGCCTGGAGCTTTCTGGTTGGGGAAACCTACAGTCAGCTGAGACCAGTGTTGGGCAAGTTTCTTTGAAAAAGTAATTATAGTTACTAGTTACTACTTCAAAAAAGTAACTGAGTTAGTAACTGAGTTACATGATTCTAAAAGTAATTAATTACTTGAAAAGTAACGATTGCGTTACTTTAAAAAAATGTTTAACCCTCTGGGGTCCAGCTTATAATTGTCCATTTTTAGCTACTTTTGATTTTTGATCAAAAACCAGACAAAAAACATAAAATCAGAGTAGAAAAAGTTATATTTTTTACTGTAACAACCACAAACATGTTTATTGAATCATATTTCATAACTTTAAATGCAAATAAAAATTGTCAATTTTAAAATCATATGCACAAGTTTTGCAAACAACAAAGTTATTTGCATCCATTTAACTTTTACCCTTTTTAAAATAACCATTTCAAATTATTTACATAACCATCAGCTGTTCTGCATTCAATAAGTGTTCCCACACCATATAGAAGAACTCCAAAAAAAAGCCTGATACCTGCAGGTCTGACAGCAGCAGGTGTATCACTCCTGATAGCAGTCGCCTCATTGTTCTGACACACAACACAAAACTCTCTCTCGCTCACTCTCTCACTCACTTGATTGTTTTATAGCTGTTTGTGGTTGTGTAGTTTGTAATGCTGTTAGTCCCATCACTGGGACTGAAGAAGTCACTTGGATGAGTGACGAAACATTTCTCCCAAACAAAACGCTACGTCCAGTTGAACAGAATTAACTTTTTGGGATTACCTGGATGCACTTTTGTTTCTTCTTGACACCAGGTTTTCATTCACCTTTTAAACATTAAAAAAAAAAACACCAAGAAGTAATAAAAATAATAATTTCCTTCAAATTTGATGAATTGACATGTAGTTGTTGAGAGCTTTTCTAGCATGACTATTCTTCATTTCTTTATCTTTCAGGCTCTCAGGATGATTGTGTTTATGCTGCAACAGGATCAAACTTCACTGTGCCACTTAGATATGAGCTGAAGGAATCAGATAGCCTGAGATGGTTCAAGGACACAAGCGTAATCTTTAATCGCAGACAGAAACAGGTGATCATGGGGAAAAATGATGCTGTTGATTCAACTGGATCACTAAAGCTGACACAACTCACCAAAGACAAGTCAGGACGATACATCCCAGAGGTTCACAACACAGATGGACTAAATGTGGGAGATTTACAGAGTGTGCGTTTGTGTGTATTAGGTAAGTAAAACACATTATATGTGTATTTATTGTGTTTGTACTACTTCTATCACAACAAGCAAGTGTGCTAAGCTGTCTTAGTCATACTTTGTCATTAAGAGTGTTTGGTTTTATTATGACGCCACTTTTCAGTCTTATTAATCAACAGTGTTGGTTATTGTAGAAAAGCATTATCAGCAGTAGTTTATATAATGTTGATATAAAGAAATTTTCTGTACTCAGACCGTGTGCAGAAGCCCAAAGTAACAGTGATGTGTACAGGCGATAAGACAAAAGTCTCTTTTACTTGTTATGTTATTAAGGTGAGTACAATATTTATTGTTTCAGGTGCAATTAAGTTAGAGTACTCTACCAATAACTGACTCATAACTAAGCTGTTGAAGAATCTGTAGTTTGCAGTGTGCATTTCCTCAGATGTTGTTTCAGTGAGGCTTGGGTCTCTATGTATGTATTATTTAATTATATAGGCTGGAAAATTACCCAAAATGTATGAAAAGATTATTATATTTCAAATTTTGGCGAAGTTTAACTTTTTATGTTAGACTTAAAATCTGAACCTTCCAATAAATCCACTAATTGTCTGTTTGTCTACAGAGTGAAAATAATTTTCAGATCAAATGGTTTATGGGTGATAAACCTGTGGCAGAAAAAGAGACTGGCAAGGAGCTGACAAGGCCAGTCAAAGACGTGCTAAATGCTCGTTTCTCTTGCAATGTTTCTAACCCCGTCAGCTCTGAGATCAGTCAGCCTGTTCAACAAGACTGCATTAAGCCCTGTAAGTAGTCAAGTCAGTGACACTGGGTTGTGCAAGTATGATGTGCTATCACGTGTCACCTGTCACTCATCTCCAAATAAATAAATTTCTGCTCCTGTTGTTTTAAGCTGATCACAGTGGCATCTGGATCGCTGTGGGTATGTTTCACATCTTATATGAAATGTGGAGGAATTAAACTTCACACAATCATTTGTCTATTTCTAGTCCCACTTTAACATGTCAAACACAATTTGCTGTTATTCTTCACCATCAGGCATTTGTATTTGTTTGGTGGTAATCCTTGTTGTCGTCATTTGCTGTGTCCAGTCCAGACGGAAAAAGCGGATTAAAAAAATCCGTAAGATTTCTTTTCAAAAATGTCGTCTCCTTTTTATTTTGTTGCTGGGTTGTTTTGGCTGGTGTTTGGTGGCAGGGCGTATACTTCACTGAAAGCTCAATAACGTTTCTTCCTTGAGTATTGAGACAATAAGTTCATTTTTCTTTAGGTTTAGCCATTGTAATGAATTTCACAGTGCGGTATTGACATTAAGACTGAACAAACCAGGCTGAACATGTAATGCTGGATTAGGCTACAGATGACACAAATTATTGTGTCAAAGAAGGAAATTAAGTTTTTAATGTTTTGAGCAGTTTCTTATCTTTTACTACATGGTCAGAAATCATCACGTGTTGCTGAAATGACCTTTTTTTGTGACTGGGTGGTCTGTGGTCTGGATTTGATTTCATTTTTATTTTTTTTAAATCTGAGTGACACCTCCAACATGTGTTGAGCTTTTACATTTTGTTGATTGCAAAGCAGATGAAGTTTGATTCTAGCTCATCTTTGTTTAGCTGGCAACACCACATCAAAGCCAGGGTCTTAGTATGAGCAGGTTTTGCGAGAAATGATGAGAGATGATTGTGATGTGAAGACACAGGATGTCTTTTGTCCTGTTTCCCTCCTCTCACCCTAACCGGTGGCGGCTGATGGCTCCTCCTCCCTGAGCTGGTGGTTTCTTCCTTAAAGGGAGTTTTTCCTTCTCACTGTCACTAAAGCTCTTACTCATAGGGGGTCATATGATTGTTGGGGTTTTCTGTTTCTTTGGATTACTGTAAGGTCTTGACAATATAAAGTGTCTCGCATCAACTATTGTTGTGATTTGGCGCAGTATTGACACAACTGAACTGAGCTGATTCTCCCTCTGACCTGTCGTCTATGCTTATTTTAACAGAGGAGGAGGAGCTTCGTTTGCAGATCACTCAGTAACAGCAGCAACATCAGCAGCAGCTGTAGTGAGCTGGCCTGCAACACTCAAATAACTGATCACCACCATCACGACCAGCAGCATCCCAGAACCTCTGAGTGAGACAACAGAAAAAATACAATCATTATCCAGCCTCAGTGCTGAGATGAAACGGTGTGTTTAGGACCCCTCGTTTGTTTACACTGACTGTATAAACTGGGTTAAATGTGCACACAATAATGGAGCAGGTTAATAAACTCATATAGACGATCAGTCTAAACAAGTGCTAATCAGTATTTGATCAACATTGATGGACTCATTTTTATTAAAGACTCATGTGTTACAGTGTTTTTAAAAGATGTGGAAAAACTAGATTATTCTTGGAATACTATCGTCTACTTGTCTGTGTGGAAAAGCTTGTTCTTGTAAAAATGTGATGACACTTATATTTTGACTTTTTTAACATTTTTTCTACTTTTGTTTTTCCTGTAGGTTTTTTAAAATGTTACCTTTAAACAGTTGTAATTTAGCATAGCATAGCATGGCCATCTCTGTAGTCCTCTTGCTTGTGAACTCTGGGATTTGTATTACAACCAAAGTATCTCAAAGCCATGGCAGTCCTTTACTGTTTCTGTTTTAAACTGCTTGAAAGGGACTGACTTGTATTTTCAGACCTATGAATTCTGCCATAAACATCTGTTTGAAATGTTTTGTGTTCCTCTTCTGTTTGACAAAAAGTTCTGCTTCTATTTTTTTAATCAGTAATACTCTAATGTGAATAATAAGCATGGCCTTCCTTATGAACGCATCAACAGTTCATGTCCTCGGATAGTTTTGCCACGTGTGGAAAAAGTGTATAATTATATTTGGATATATTTTTGCAAAAGGCTGTGATTTTTCCTGCTGAAGTATTTCTTCAGCTTTCCAAGGATTTACCCATGAACTCCTGCAGCTAGATGGTACCAGAAGGTATATTTTGCTATCTGATCACATGGTTGTATAACATATTGACACTGGTCTCACTTCTGCCCTTGGATTCTGTTATTCGTGTTTTTTGTTTATCATTACTGATAAAATAAAGTATTTTACTCTTTTCTCTCGCCTCACAGTTCATTATTTCAAAACCACTACCAGGTGAAGAAAAGTGAAACAGTATTCTCTCCCGAGAAAGCAGCAGCGCCCTCTGCAGTTTGTGTGTTGAAGTGAAAAAGCTTACAGGACTGCAAGTACTGACGAGGACCAACCCTGCTCAGCTTCCAGGATCAGGCGTGTTCAGGGTGGTATGGCCATAAACGAGAGGACAGTGCAGAAACTGCCTTTTTATACGTGCTGTGATGACACACACATGCTTATATTCTTATGTTCTATATATAAGTGAAAGTCTCCAAAAGACAAAAATGTTTGACCTACAAATCGTCCTAACACACTGTGTGCTCTCTGTCAATTTAACACTGCTGAAATAAACGAACGTGTTCTTAAGGTGATGTTACTGCGGGAAAAGCAATTTTGCAGCTCAAATTTGAAGCTGCAGCTAATAAAGAAGGTTTGCATGTTTTTGTTGTAACATATGCAGTTTAGCACAATAATATATATATAGGCTTTTTATGTAGTGGCTCTCTCGCTTAGGGCCATACCACCCTGAACACACCCGACCTTCAGGAGCAGGACTACACCTTGACACCTCCCCTTCCTGTTCTGTATATATATTAACCCCCTCCTTTAAGTAACCTTCCAAATTCAACCAGTACCTCCAAAACTGATACATCACCTTTATTTGTTATGGAATCAATCAGTAGTCACTGTACCTTACTCAAATGAAGCAAACTAGCCAGCCTGGTAACCCGTCTGCATCATCCAGCTTACGTGAAACTCACCCTTAAGCCTTTAGCTGTCAGCAATTATCTCCTGCCTAAAAATTCCCAGCATGCTTCACCGCCAGAGCCTCTGTTCAGACCCCGACCAAGTCACTACCTGATTCAGGTTCCCTCACTCTTTCATCAAGTTTTCTCATCATCTGCACTTTCTTCTGATCTCTTTTGCTGGCGTTCCTTTTTCATGTTTGTTGGCACATTCAATAATGCTGGCACTTCATTCAGTGCAATCCCTGACAACCTGATTGAGGTCACGAGCCGCTCGTCATCTTAAGCCTGCCTACCAGAGTCTTCGACCTTTGTAGCAGACAGTCATCAATGCTTCTTGGGGATGGGCCATCAGTCTCCTCTGAGGGCTTCTCCAAACTGCAGCCTCAGTTCCTGCTCAGGCATCTGCCATTACCAACTAGAAACGCTGTCAAACCTGAATGAGGATGAGGTGTCAGCTGGTGAATTCTAGTGTTAGCCACATTGAGCTGCTGTGGGCAACAAGTTTCTTTTTCTCATATATATATATATATTTAAAAGGTTCAAATCATGCATTTTAACATGTCTATACAAACAGGATTTTTGATGTTTGTGTTCCCACACCACCATGCAAACAGGTATAGAAGAAACCAGTTTAATGCAACAAAAACAGGAATACTGCTGTAAAACCATACAGAGGAGTTTTCTCTAGCACAAACAACTTCTGTGTATTTCCCCCTTCTTATCAGGCGTTCAGTTTCTGCAGTAAGTGTTAAACCACACATGAGAAGTGGCATGTTATTGACGACAAACTTGTTTTTTTCTTTTTAAAAACAAACAGCTGCAGGGTACAGTACACACACAGTCCCAGAGAGCCGTTTTTGTCTTAAATGCACATAAAACATTTGGTTGCACTCACACACATCTATATTTCACTCCAGTTAAATTCATTTACCAGTCTTATCATGTTTAACATCAATCTTTCATCTGGGTCCTCTTCCATCACTGCTGACAGCAGGACAAAAACAGTTCTTCGTGCTTGTGTTTTCATTTTGTTCGTTTGTTTCGTTTTTATGTTTTTAGCAGTTTTGAACTTCAACATCAGAGTGAAACCAAGATGCCGCCTTATTAGGCAGAGAGGGTCTAACAAAACAGACTGTTGTGTTCCATTAATGTTAGAGTCTGAGGTAAAATGTATGAACCAAAAGTGTTTTTTCTTACCTTTCATCCTGCCAAACCTTCAGAGGTAAGATATATTTTAATCTTCTCATCATTATAGTTTTGGCCTTTTTAACTGCAGGTGTTCTATTGTACAGAAATGCTGATGTAATAAAGATTACATAACTTTTTCATGTAATACTCATGGAAGTTTTCATTCTCGCTCATTTTTTATATGTAAAGCATCTAAATTACTAAATCCATTTTTACTGGTCTATGGAGGAACAGCATGAGCAGTGGCAGAACTACAGAATGACCTCCAGCAGGACGCTGGTGTGAATGTCTCTGATCAAACAATCAGAAACAGACTTTATGAGGGTGGTCTGAGGGCCCAGTGTCCTCTAGTGGGTCCTGTGCTCAGTGCTCAGCCATAAAGAACATTATGCTGCCTGTTACATCGTTCAGTATGACCAAGTTTGGAGGTGGGTCAAAGATGGTCTGTGGAGCCATATTCATTGAGGGACTGACCTCTACAGCCTAGGCAATGGTACCCTTACTGCCATTAGATATCAGGATGAAATCCTTGGATCCACAGACTGTAGTTGGTCCCGAGTTCCTCCTGGTGCACAACAGTGCACATCCTCATCCTGCAAGCTGTATGCAGACAGTTGATCTGCATACAGTGGGTAAAATGAGTCTTGAACAAGTCACAAATTTTCTAAGTAAATATTATATTTCTATATTTCTAATGGTGCTATTGACATGAAATTAATTCAATTATTAGTCAATCAATTATTAATAAAAAAATAAATTTAAATAAAAGCATCTTAAATTGTTATTTTATCAGATACATTGTCCTCACAGGTGTCAGCATTAGTATCCACAGGCCCTAAAATCTTTGATTGATTGATCCAGTCTTATGACATTTGAGCACATTCCAGTAATCTTCCACGAAGTGAGCAGCTGTTGCTGTCCCTCTTTTCATGCTTTGCTTTTGCTCTTAGAGCTTTCTGGCACTGACACAGTATTCATCTCACAGGCAACGATAATTTGCATCTTGATTAAGTTGGACTGATAAGCTACACTAATATCTTTCTTCAGGGTTAAGTTCAACTCCAGCTGCAGCCTCTGGGCCACTTTACTGTTGGCTATATTGCAATTAGATATTTGTTTTCTTTATTGTAACCAAAGTCATAATGCTCTGCTAGCTGATAGAGATTTCTGACAAAGGCTTTTACACTCTCACCATGTCGTTGGGAACTTTGATGGAAATTCACACGTTCATGAATCGTGTTGTTCTTCTTTAACATTTTGTAGGAATTATCGTTTGCATATCGCCGTCCTCTTGGTTGAGTTTAGCAGCAACTCAGAAGTGGGATAAACGTTGCCTCCAGACCAGCCATTGCGCTGGTTTAGTGAAGTCAAACAAATCAGGTGCATTAACCTTTGCCATTATCACTGCTTGCATCTTCTCCCTTCTGCTTCTACACCTTTGGTGGGCAACTTCTTCTGACACCGTGCCATGAAAAGTCACGGGAACTGCACAAAAACTGCACTAAAACTTTATTACTCTCAGAATCCATAGCCATTCATTCTCACTACAGATGTAATACCTTGTGTAAACTAGGGACAGCTACACTTACAGACCAGATTGTAAACAACACATCACAGCAGTGTCCTGTTTCAACTGAAAACAATGAGGAAACAACAAATAATATTCAACAAATAAAATCAGTTTGTACATTCAGGTTTATGAAAACAATTTAATTCAAAACAACAGTCATTTGTATTTTATAGCAATTTAGCATTTGATTTCAAGGTTCAAGGTTCTTTATTTGTCATATGCATAGTTATACAAGTATAAAACACAGTGAAATGTAGCCTGACACGTTTCTCGACATGTGCAAAAATTGGGGGGGGGGGGGGGGGGGGGGGGGGGGGGGTGTAGAGGAAGAACATGTATATGTATATATATATATATATATATATATATATATATATATATATATATATATATATACCGACCAACTACCGACCAATAACCTGCCTCAGTACTACATGGAAGCTCCTGTCAGGCATCATATCGGCTAAGATGAACAGGCACATGGGTCAATACATGAGCGGGACACAGAAAGGAATTGGCAAGAATACCAGAGGCGCAAAACACCAGCTACTGGTAGACAGAACAATCAGCCGAGACTGCAAGACCAGACTGACCAACCTGTGCACTGCCTGGATTGATTACAAGAAGGCCTATGACTCAATGCCCCACAGCTGGATACTGGAATGCCTAGAATTGTACAAGATCAATGGGACCCTAAGAGCCTTCATCAGGAACTCAATGGGGATGTGGCGTACAACACTAGAGGCCAACTCCAAGCCCATAGCACAAGTCACCATCAAGTGCGGGATCTACCAAGGAGATGCTCTGTCCCCACTGCTGTTCTGCATAGGCCTGAACCCCCTCAGTGAGATCATTAACAAGACTGGCTACGGATACCGACTACGGAACGGAGCAGTTGTCAGCCACCTCCTGTACATGGATGACATCAAGCTGTATGCCAAGAGTGAACGAGACATCGATTCACTGATCCACACTACCAGGCTATACAGCAATGACATTGGAATGTCGTTCGGACTGGAGAAGTGTAGTCGGATGGTAACAAAGAGAGGGAAGGTAGTCAGAACTGAGGGGATTGAACTACCAGAAGGCAACATTGCAGACATAGAGGACAGTTACAAGTACTTGGGGATCCCGCAGGCGAATGGGAACCATGAAGAGGCCGCTAGAAAAGCTGCAACCACCAAGTACCTGCAGAGGGTCAGGCAAGTCCTGAGGAGTCAGCTGAATGGTAAGAACAAGATCCGGGCCATCAACACGTACGCCCTGCCCGTGATCAGGTACCCTGCTGGGGTAATAGGCTGGCCAAAGGAGGAGATAGAAGCCACTGACATAAAGACAAGAAAGCTCCTTACCATGCATGGAGGGTTTCACCCCAAGTCCAGCACCCTGAGGCTGTACGCTAAGCGGAAGGAAGGGGGCCGGGGACTGGTGAG